TTTTTTTTCTAATTGTTTAAGCAACTTTATTAATTATATATGGTTAATAAACATTATTTTAAACATTATGCACTTTTTTTCAAAGATAGTCGTGTTATTTTATTACGCTTTGAAGAAACGTGCATAATATTTTGCTCGATGTGTCCACTTGTGGCCTCAGGAGAGAAGCCAAAAGATTTTTTCCCCCTAACTGAAATTATGCCTTTTAAATTCGAATATAATTTAAATTTTGATAATATTTAAGTAGAAAATTCGAATTTAGTTTTTCAGTCATTTTGACAGCCCTAGATCAGAAACAATAATTGTTTGATGCCAAGTTAAGTCAGGACAATAGTATTTTTCACAACATGCATTGTTTCAAAACCGCTATACAGAAAACATGGAACAGAAACACCAGGGCCCGTATTCTTAAATCTTCTAAGAAATCTCTCAAAAATTTCTACGTAGGAGTCTTAGCTTAAGAGCAATTCAGGACCAATCTAAGAGCAACTCGACTTTCATCTTAGTGAGGAGGCGGGGCTGACCCCGTTGCTACGTATGACACAGTCTTTTGAAGACTGTGATTGGCTGGTTGTTCAAGAAGGGGGAAAAAAAGAGAAAGTGGTTTAGGGTTAATTATAAGCCTTCACTTTGAAATTACAGGCGTAATTTTTACTATTTTACTCTCTCTCTCTCTCTCTCTCTCACACACACACACACACATTATATATGTGGGTCAAAGACGTTAAGATGTCCACATCAAAATAAATGTACAAAAGTGATTTTATGTCCATAGAAAGCACATTAAATGTAAGTAAAGTGTCTACTTTTAAGGTTTCAATTTAAGGGGGTCTGAATACTTTCCGTACCCACTGTATATATATATATATTATTACTTTTTTATTTACCATGCTGTTAATGTTGTACTTAAAGTATTTGATAGGAAATGAACAGCGACACAATAAGGTTCTGAAAGTGCTGTAATTGTTTGTGTGATCACTTTGCTTATAGAAGGTTGTGACACAGAATATGCAGAATACAGTTGTCAGTCCTGTATTTGGGTCCTTAACATGATTACGTTCACACAATACAGTTATTTACGGGGGTGACAACTGCATTCTATAACCGAACTCACATTTTCAAGACTCACAACCGCATTCTCGGAAAACACGCACTGTATGAACTGGACAACTAGTTGTAGTACAGTGCGAGAGAGCCGCTCATGTGTGGTTTCACTTTGGGTACATTGACAGGGAAATGAGCCGTGCGTCATCTGAAGGTTTTAGATCCAGTCACTGTTCTTCACTGGAGTGGTTTCCGTCAGTTTTGTGTTCTGTGCGTCACAGTGCGTGACTCAAATGCAGTGTCATGCGCGAGACGCAGAAAAGGATGCGAGCGCATATACGGGCTTGACTCTCGTTGCACGTTCATACAGGAGAAACTCTTAAGCCTCTTAAAAGTCCTCGTCAGTACTCCTAACAATTTTGGACCTTAAGAGCTCTTTTAAGGGTTAAGATGCTTTCTGAATTACTTTCTTCTTTACTAGGATCTTTTCTTTAATTTTAAGAGGAAACACCCACATTTCTAAGATTGTTCTTAGAAGTGTGTCACTAGGAGCAACTCTTTGCACTAAGAATTTTCGTGAATACGGGCCCAGGGGAACAGAGGTGGCTGATAGCCGATTACGCACTGGAAGGGGGTGAGATCTGTAGAGGGCTGACGAAGAGAGTTCTGTGCGTACTCGGCCCAGGCGATAAATCGGTTCCAGGAGTTCTGGTGGCTGTGGCAGAAGGTACGGAGGTAGCGACCTATCTCCTGGATCTTTCTCTCCGTTTGACCGTTGCTCTGTGTGTGGTATCCAGAAGATAGGCTTACTGTCACCCCTAGGAGCGAGAGGAAAGATCTCCAAACTCGTGAGATAAATTGAGGACCTCTATCTGATACTATGTCTTCGGGGATGCCAAAGTTTCGAAAGACATGGTTAAAAAGTCTCCATGGCAGTTGGGAGTCCTTTCAGGGGTACTCTATCCACGGCGACTAGGATGCAAGTATTACCATCTGATGCTGGTAAGTCTGTGACGAAATCGACTCCTAGGTGTGACCATGGACGCCGAGGAATGGGGAGAGGAAGGATCTTCCCA